GGAGAGATGAGATGAGGATGAGGCACGGGGTTCAAATACTACCGGCTAGCTCACTGTTCCCCTGCACGGGCTGTCTTCACCACTGACCCTATCAGATAGCACGCTGCGTGCGCCTCGTAGAGACCATGAGCAAAAGGGGTCAGGAGAGGAGAAGGAGAGAGAAAGAGCGAAAGGAGGAGAGAACAGATGAGTGAGAGAGGGGAGGGGGAGGGCCGGGGCCGGGGAGGGCCGTGTGCAACAGGGCAAGGGGACTGTCACACACATAAAAGAAACGAAGCACTCACGCACACTCACACACACATGCACGCATTGCACGCACACGTGAGAGAGTAGATAAACTCATAAATAGCTCGTTGTTCTTGGAACCGAGAGAAAGAGAGAGACAGCAGAGGGTCGTTGAAACACGAGCCCGCGTGGTCCATGGGCCACGCTTGCAAGCTGATAGGCGCATCCGAGTAACGACACATAAAGGCGATAAAACAGGGGGGGGGGGCAGTCATGCACATAGACGCTACAAATCACACAACAAACGAAGATCCTTACCTTTACTTCCGGGTTAGTGCTGAGTGCAGCGCTCCTGCGGGCGTGTGGGGACTATATTTGGCCCACTGGAAGAAATCCGCGGCAGTCAACCCCTGCTGCAATAAAACCAAAAGGCAAGAAGACGATTAGTGCTCATAGTACTAAAAAAAAAAAAATACAAGAAAAACAAACAGTGGGAGAAGGCTATTGTTGAGGTTATTGCACTGATAAACCAAGAAGCATAGTCCAACGGTCAACCGATGAACAATTTTTAGGTGTGCAACTCCAAGTTGAATACTTGCAAAGTGTTCAACTGCAAGTTGCAGACTTACAAGTGTTTACCTGTTAAACCATTGGCTTATCTACGGGGTTCAAAGTGTTGTTTCGTCTAGTTTCGTCTACAATTTTGTACTCCTTCTGTACACATGCTTGGCCAGTTCTCAGTTCGTCATAGTCTCCGGGCGAGGGGGTGAGGTGGGGGACTCCACATAAAGGGAGGGGGGAGAGGGGGGCATTGGAGATGTGTCGGCTATGCAGCTGTGGCCTTCTGCTAAAATACTATCCACTACAAAAATAGTGGATGCAAATATTTGCTGTCGAGACAGCAGAAGTGCAATTTTCTGATAGGCATGCAATTTGAACAGAAATAATAAAAGAGTTGGAGAAATGTCACTACACACGCTTAGAATAAAGTCAGATAGACTGCTTGTTAAGAATGAAGTTGTGACAACACTTCTGATGCACGGAGTGTTTTGCATTTCCCCCAGTGCCAAACGATACCCTGTTGGCAAACTCGCTAATAAAGAACCTGCTCATCCGAAGGGTACACCCGAAAGACATTTATAACCTCAACATGTCAAAAGAATCTTCTGCTAGCAACACTCACGTAACATTGGCCTCTCCGGGCGAGCAACTTGAACCCTGGACCATAATGCACGACATGCGAACACAATGCTATCGGAGTTACGCGAGTTAAGTTGCTGAACGGGTTAAGTATCTAATTTTTGAGTGTATCGACGAACTCATGGCAGGGTGACATTTTGGGAACTGCCTGCACTGAGGATGAGAATCGACAACGACAACTCGTTAGTTTTGTTTTCCGTAGCGTAGTTTGTAACGTATGAGAAATTCACACACCGCTTCACGCTCATGTCAGCTCCATGTCTTTTCTCCTAACCTGTTTTTATCTTGATTCTTGATTATTGTGGCTGCCGACAAACCATAACCTGTGGAGAACCGTGTGAATTTCTGATTGTCGTAGTGAAATAGTCGAGGCCCGTGTTTTATCTTTGCGCTTAAAACACTCCAATGTCTCGGTATTCTGAAAGGCGGAAGGCAATTGAAGCTAGGTAGTTATTATTATTATTGTTTTAATAATGTGGTTTCGGTACTGGCTTTCAGTGCTGCACTAGTACAAGAAAATAACAATTGCATTTTTTTCCAACAAATACTCAAACATTTATCTCTCCCTCCTAGTCTTGATCATCAAAACCACGATGGCAAGGAGAAGAAAGTTAACAGTAAGAGAGCTGTCAATCAGCATCTCACCATAGAAGGTGACAAGGAAAAGTATGTAATTTCCCCCTTTCCCTTACATCTACTGTTTTAATTCAACCGATAGGTCTTTCACTGTTTCAAGCAGCATGTTTTATTGAACAATTTATATCCATGGCTTATGGTGTTTCAGGTTCAAGGAACTGCTGCGTCGGAGGTTGATTGAGTGCGGTTGGCGTGATGAACTGAGAGTTCTGTGTAGAGATACCATTAGGGAACGAGGCATTCACAATGTCACAGTTGATGAAATTGTAGAAGATGTCACTCCTAAAGGAAGAGGTAACTGGACTCTCATCAACTTGAATAATTTTCAAATTAATCAATTTTCATTTGCTTTATACAACCATATTACTGCTTCAAACTTATGCTTCCTTATATTTTCTTGTTTTCTAGCTCTGGTACCAGATACAGTCAAAAAAGAATTACTCCAAAAAATTAGAACATATCTTCATGAAAAAGCTTTCAAGTGAAGACCAAGACTTGATGTAATTATTTTAATTTATTTTATCTCTTATTGAATCTTGTTTTGTGCTGTTCTGATGCCTTCAGCATTTAAAACTAAATGTTCATTATATATTGTCCACCTTACAACCAATGTGTGGCGACTGAAGTCTCCACAATGCACAGGGGTCCTCTGTTCAAATTGTAAACACCTAAATCCAGGTCCAGATTAATTTGAAAGCATTACCTTTTTATGGGCCCTCTCACAATCGTTGGAACATTTACAAATTGAACAGGACCACTCTGCTGGTGAAAGTATTCAAATGTTGATTGTAGGACTATTCAGTAAATTTGTCCTGAAGCTGTTTAAACGTCATTAGTTTTTTATAAGCTTACAGAGGATAGTTAAGTTTAGGTAATATAATTATTCCATTTTCTGTGTTGAACTGCCATTTCATACTGAGAGTATTTTTTATGAATGCCATTGGATTGGAGGGATAGATCATCTGCACTATGTTTGAATTATGTTATCTACTCAACGCAAAAGAACTGTTATCTTTATCATTCCAATGTCAAGTTTCCATGACCTATCAAAATTTGAGATTATCCTAGCAGGATTCTGTTAACCTCTTGATCCTTGCAAATTTTCCTACAGCAATAATTATTTGTACATTTTTATGTGAAATTTCATTAAAAGTTCTGATCACAAATAACCTGTATTTTTGTCATGATTTG